TCAAATTATGTATTACGAAAGAATGATTCTTCAATTTCATATTTGTACTCAATATTTTCTAACAAATATAAAATAAAATTATTTATTTATCGTCGTGATAAAAACATTTTATTATTGTGCATGCAATATCATTTCTATTCATGTAATTACTGTTCATTAACCGTGCTATAAAAATAAGTCAAACTTACCTTTCGCGACTGTTGAATTCTGTAATAGCTCTCAGAGACCCGATAAAACACCTCACTGAATTCTTCCATGCGTTCCTCGTTCTAATGAACAAACAAATAATAGAAACTTATTATTCTCCTGGAATGATACATCAATGAATATTAGTTACTGGATATGAAACAAACCTTTTGTTTTAACGGCTGGGACTTATGCTGGCTATGCATGCGTAACATACAGTGTGAACATCCAGCTACGTCACAACTTTCACAATAATATCCTAATGGCTCGCTACATGTATCTAAACACGTATTTTTTATAATGAACACATTCTCTTTGTTGCTTCCTAATATAACTTTTGTATGATTTTGCAACGCTCTTCTATGGATCTGGTAGAACGTAAGTACAATTATAACATATTACTATCAGAAAATGTATGTAAATAATATGTATTGGGCAATAGAATATGTATACCTTGGCATAGCAAATATGACAATAAAGAGCAGCACACTGTAGACACTTTATAGTAGCATGAATTCCACATTCATGGCACAAGCCTGAAAATAAAAAGTAAGCTTTTTACATCAGGCTTGAAAGATAATTAATAAAGTGTGCCTGGAATACATACCTATAAACGATTGTTGTTTTGCTTTTGAACTGTATGGCTTAGAAAAAGAAATATCACAATCGTCTACATCAATTGGTCTATTGTGTGACATGATCATTAATCCTAGAGCATATATGTTTAACGGCAAGGAGGAAGTTTGGTTTTCGGCAGACGTTGAAACCATATTGCACAAAGGACAAAGCTTTTCATTGCAACCTCTTTCACACTTATCACATATCACATGTCCACATTTTAATAATACAGGAATAACACCGCGTAAAGGTCGAAATCCTGAAACAAACGAAAAAAATGACTTTCTTAAGCATCTGCTCTGAACAGCAACAAATTTCATGATTGATAATGGAAAACGAAAAAAAGGACAATAATAAAAAAATATCAATCTCCTGTCCTCTAACCTCTAAAACGTTTACACACATGTCTTTCCCTCTTAGAATTAGCAATGAGTAAAAACATACCGTAGTTTTTGTACACCTCGTGTTAGAATATTGTTCACGAAAGTACGATAACCGCAAGTAAATCGCAAGATGATTGCGAGAGCAAAACAATGACTACTTTCAACGAGTATGCAGCTGACTATCATGGTATAATGTTTAAATAATCGAAAAACAGAACTCAGTAAACATCACGATCACGAGGGACAGGACGATTACCTACCTTGTAAGAAGAATTGATGTTTGCAACGTGTACAAAAAATGTTTTTTAGCTTTGTCGGTGGGAAAACTGGATTAAATGAATGCTTGACATTCTTATGTTGAGCCATCATTTTCTCACTCCGAATTAATAACTCGCATAAACACTTATTACCAACTAAATTTGAAAATTACACGACGCACAGCACAACCACGCGGGTCCACAGCTATCAACGTTATGTACCGGTATCACATTTGAATGGACGCCCAGTGCCGGCGGTTGCCGGCATACGATGTCGACAGTTACACTTTAACCTTAAAGTGATAGGGCGATGTACTTGTAATACATGCCGAATCGAAATTCGAATAATAAATGAACAGAATATGAAATAAAATTAAGATTTTATACTAAATTATGCGGAAAGATACGTTAGTCAGTACCGACACCTACAAATCGGCGCGAAGCTGGTTTTGAAAATGTAATAGATGGAGATGTTAGGTTCTTATAATGTTTATATATGTATTTACTTACAGGGTACAGAGTTTGAATATGTAATCAAATGTGTACAGTACGTAGATGGAATCAACACAGTATTATCCAATAAACAAAATGAGCACGTACTTAGGGCATCAAGAAAAAATGGGCACCATAGAAATTTTTCGTATTAAATAATCTAAATATTTAAGAGAAAAAAGTGAAAGAAAATGGGAAGATGAGAATCAGTGACAAGCGTGTAAGAGAGTGAAAGAGAAAACGAAAGAAAATTGAAAATTTCGGAATAATCGAGATTGAACTACAGAAACAGGTTGAATCGGTTCGACAAGTATAGTAACAGGTCACAGCACGTGTGTAACTTGTAGCTGATAGGAAATTGACTAACCTTTTAGTCAAATTGTCGAATATGTCTGAGAAATCTTATATTACGTCGAAGTGATAAGAGGTCCCAAAAATTCTTTGAGTGCTTAAAGCCCATCAGATAAAGACACAGTTTTGACAGAGTATAAAGTAGCCTATTAACAGTACGACGTATTCTACTTGCGCGAATTAGGTTCGTTTTTCTTATTCTTATTCTTATAACATTTTATGATTATTCGAGGAAGAAATAAAAGATAATGATAAGAACCTTACCTCTAAGTTACGGTAATGAACTTATTTAATAGCAGCAAATTAATGAGACAACTTTTGAAACATTAGTTATGAACTTCGATAGATCATGTGATCCGTAGTTTTCCTAGTAACGCAGTGCATAGATAGTTCAAAACCGATGCAATTGTATTTGTGTTAAAGAGCGTCTCACTATCCTCATGATAGATGCCGCCGCAATCTCGAGATCGGAACAATTTGACAAAAACGTAAAAAGTCAGGTGTATAAATGGTGAAGGTGAAGATATGTTGGATCCATTGGATTCTAGGCGCGGTCGCAACCGAAGATCCGTTATAATCCCACCCAGTGCAAACGCATCAGCGAGCAAGAAGATCGCAAACAGCGTACCTGTCTTATTTTAGGTATAATAATCCTATTATGTTGTACTATTTATATGTCTTCTGATATTAGTCCAGTTTCTTTACTTGTAATTACTTTGCGTGTGCATTTAACGAAGAATGTATTTGTTGCTGTAAAGATGAGACAAACTGATAGTATTTAAGAAAGAATGCAAGAGTTCATGAATAGAAGAGTATAAATAGAAAGTCGAGACGTACTCGACATTTTGCTGTTTACATAGCAAATAGACAATGCTTTTTGCGTTTTAAGCATATGTGTTTTTACATTTCTAACTCTATCACTTTAAGCTTTCGAACATAATAATGATTAAAAAAAAATTAAACATTATTATATGTATTTATATTGAACAGATAATTTTATCGTCAAATGTTTGTTCAAATATATTTTCTCTCTGTCTTTTTTGTATCGGGAATGGTAAAACGCATATTATTGTAGGTTTCAAATACAAGTTTATGTGTGTCATAAAGATAGTAAAATTATACTTATTACAAGTACATGTAACAATTTTCTATCTACAATTGACGTTTGTTTGCCGCACGTGTCATCTAATGCAACATTATTATACATTCTCCGGATAAGGAAATTTGACCGCGCATGGCAAGTGCAGGGTAACTGGGTCACACGTGGCAAGAGAGAGAGAGAAACGACATCGACCCTTTGAGAGATCTGCGTGGTCGGAAATCAATGATATTTTTATGCAGGAATAAAATGTTCTGCAAAGGGGCGTTCTGTAAAATGTTCTGTTCATAAATTTAGACGGATCTATAAAAAAGTATCATTGAGGTTTCATATCGTGTATATTTTACATGCGGAAATAAGTACACAGGTAAATTAGCTGCAATGCAACTGGTTAAGTACACGCTGATTCTAGACAAAATTATCTGAGATTTATCCAGCAATAAATTTGAGTTTTCATCTTTACGTAATCGGCACGATCGCGTGCACGCTGCAAGATCGTGGGCTACGCAAAGTAAGAAGAGGAAAGAAGATATCGGATTTAGGCTGGCGCTCGGAACAACAGTATGTATATAAAGACGCGTCTGGCATGTATATACATATACATATACGTACGTATGTAGGGAACGAAGTGGTCTCTGGACTAGTACAAGCCATGCGAAAGAGCTGTGGCAAGGTCTAGGCTGGCTGGCATTCAAGGTCGCGTGTACAGCGCAAAAGCCTCCGGATCTATCCCCGCCCCAGATTTTAGCGCCCTTTACTTCTCGCCGTCTCTGTTACACGGAGCAGCGCGTGCACACATTTCACCTCACTCGTCTCCGTCTCTCTTTTGCTGCGTCTCCCTTCTCCTCAGTCGCTTGAACCTTTGTCTCGTTCCTTCCCACGGCCCAGTCTCGCGCCTTCCTGTTCAACTCACGCGCTCTCTCTCTCTCTCTATTTTCCCTTCCTTTCCTCTTGCACGCGCGTCACCGACCGCTCCCCTCTCTCACCACTTTGCCCTTTCCGCGTGCAACATCGATTTATCCATAAAAATTCACCGAGTTCAACTCTATCACTTCGTCTATTACTTCCTGGTTGGTGTTCAGCCTCTCTCGCACCCGGATTCATCGTTGTAATACGTGATAAAAGCATGATCGATCGCCGAGGATAATTCAACAACGGCAGCGTTCTAACCGTTTCTTCAAATCGCTTATTTATATGCCACCTCGTGCAATCACGTACACGCAGCAAACCGTGTATACCTACTATTAAAGTAAGACTTGTTAGCTAGATAGAGAGGAACTAGAATGCGCTTAGGAGGAGTCGAGAAAGCGGAATTTCAGGCTCGCGGGAACAAATTCTTCGAGCGTGCCTCGTGAACTCGTACGAATAAAGGAATGGCAAGGCGCAAGATCGTATACTTACTCAATATCATTTTTGCATATCCGTTCAAAATGCGATTGTAATTGGGCGTAAGGAATGAATGTATCAAAAAATTCGATATCCGAGTGATACAAACTCATTAAATTTGAATAATACGCGTTTCACTGCATTTTTTCGTGTAATCGCTTGATGATTTAGACTGGAACTTTATTCGTTGCTATACATTTCTAGACATGAAACGAATAATGTATTCCATTACATTCGCACCTTTGAAAGGTGCATTTTTAATGGTAGGGAATATTAGAAACAGAATTAAATGCAGCTGTGCTTAAAATACTTTAAAATTTAATATGCAACATCAGTCATTTAAACTACTGCACAACGTAAAGTTAGATCTGCACATTCTCATTAGGTGAATATTTAATTTATAGCCACAGTACCGTACTTGGTATTACTTTGAATAGATTTGGTCTTGTCAATGCAACTAGAATAATACGTCTTGATTTTACATTCAATTCCGTTGACCTAGATTAGGTACCAGACGAAGCAGACATTCCTCATTTTCCTCCAACCGCGCTGTCGCTGAAAGGAAGAGGCACATCTACGCGCGTTTTAGAGCTGCGAAACGAGTCCTGTAAACAGCGAACAGTCTACGTGTTAGCAGGATAGAAAGAGCGATATAAAATAGAATTTTCGAGGGAATTAATATCGAGAATTACTTAGCATTCCCAAAGGGTGAAGTAGGACATGAGGAATGAAGCTTGAGAGACGGAATGAGGAAACGTAGAATAGCGAAATTACGTAGACCGCGAGAAAGAGATCAATGAATAATTTTAAAGTGTGGTGAACGGTCGGAAAGCCATCGATTGAAATTTTCATCGCCCTTTCGCACGCGCATGTTCGCCCAATTATTTATTCACGAAATAATGGACGAACAAGCAGATGTCTGGCTTGGTGTGTAAACGAGCTATTCGACGATAGGGCAAAAGCGAAAAGATGAAAAAGGGAAAAGGGAAACGTTTGAGGTGTACAGCTAATTTCAAATTAACGGGACATGCATCGTTGTTAGACAAGTGATCGCGTCATTTTATTATAAGTACAAACCATAATCAATGGTACGTGTATAGTGAATTTGAGCCTGCTGAATGCCCACCGATCCGTGTTTTAATTTCGCGGCGTTCACGTTCGCATCCACGCTTTAAATTCACTTCACGAAGTGCGGCAGCGTCGGGTTTGAAAAAGGGCGACGCATATGTTGTACCCGACGTTTCCAACAGCAGTTCGCGTTACACAAGCGCATGGAATTACAATATCGTATTTCATTTTCCGTCATAGGACCAACAGAGATTTCTCGGAGGAAAGAGCCAACGGAATGTTCCTGAGTGAAATTCACCAAGCGGTGAACGGTTTTGCACGATCACCGCTTCTCCTGTCCTCCTTTGGAACAAGTATATCCTGTACTAAAAACCTAAGATGTTGGACGTTTTCTTTGACTATAATATAGTTCGTTGAAAATGCTTTCGGAGGCAGAAGAAAGGAGGACGATGTGTTTATCAAACCGTATAATCCCTTATAGCAATAGCTTAATTTCTATTCGAATTGCAGCAACTATCGTAATAAAACATTTTAGGTACATTGCAAATTATAATGTGACATGGATTCCGTAGCTTATAGTTTCCATACTACTTTATACCGTGGAATAGTTTGTTCTTCGCTTTATCACAGGATAAGTTGTTTACACTGTGAATTAGTATCAGAATTCCACATGGACGTTCGCGTCATTCAATGTAACATTCATTCATCATCTTCTGTTTTTTTAAAAGAAATCCGTTACTTCACTATAAGATGAAGTATAACGTATGGGAGCATGTGCATTTCGTACGATGAATCTGTGTTCACGGAACGGTAAGAAAAGTACGAATGGAGAACTTTGATTGAATTAGCCATCTGCATTCCGTAGGAATTTTCGAGGCTTCCCTAACGGGCAATAACGAGAATTCGGCCTCGTTTATCACCACTTGTAGCTCCACCCTGGCCCGACCGAACCGTTTACTCCCGCTTCTGTGCGGAAAAGGAAGAAGGCGCGATGCGACGGCTGTCTCGCTTCCGAGACGACCGCTTACTCGGCCGGCGATGCGTGTTACGTGGCCCCTTTCGACCCCTTATTTTCACAGTCCGTTCTCACTGACATCGTTACCTACCACCTCCGTCACTAGGTCTAGTCGGCCTTTTTTCCTTTCTCTCCCTCGTGCTCGGTTTCTCCGCTTTGCTCACTTCCTAGTGAATCCAGGGCTCGACGAAGGTGCACGTGTCCGTGTAGGCCGTTCCGTTTCTCCTTGTAGCTACTAGCTCCCTACACTAGCTACAGCTATATGTGCATGCATGCAACTTTCCGATGAACGAGGTACATACATAGGCAGAGGTAGACGACCGTCTGGCACGCGACTCCTTGGTCTCCGCCTCGTTCCCATTCTACTTTTGCTCCGCCGACGCACAGTTAATCCTTCTTTCTCGTGCCTGGCCGGGAAACGGTCTCTCCCTCGAGGGAAAACGCCGTCGCACGGCGCGCCGTGGAAAGTCGATGAGACAACTGTGCAGCGGGGCAAATCCCGGAACGGCTGATAATGAACTCCGCCGATGATTCGATTAGAAATAAGATTTGCTTTCCTTTTTTTAATTGCGCATTGCTCGATCGTATTCCTGTTTACCGTCTTAGCAAACGCAACTCCCAAAGTCTGACGTTGCAGTCGACGATATAACGACGGATGTTACTTTCTCTCTTGGACATTTCACTGGTCTTCAATGACCTAAACTACGAGATCGAAATCATTGTGACAGGGTACGACGGTGGGAAAGAAATTGAACCTGGCTTCAGATGAGCAACTTTTCCCTCGTTAACATGTCTATCTACGTAGTCAACGTATACAAATTCGCAGCAAAAATATAACGATCGTCTGAAGCGGGCCTAACAACTTCTCGTTGGTTCGATCAATTGTACTACGATTCCTCGTCTCCCACTCGGTAAGTTGGTTGATTGCATGGAAGCTGTATATTCGGAACCACGAAGATATATACCCGCAGCGAAGAAGATGACTAAGTAAGAGTCGATAGCTGTGGCGATGCTCTTTCCAGTATTCTGCCTCCTGTAATCCCCTTCAGCTACGGCCTGTTCCTTTCCAGCACATACTTCTCCGTGAACTCACTCCAGTTTCCATGTGAACAACGACTCTCGTGCTTCGCTTTCTTCGCAGTTTAACGCAACGTCTATACGAGTTCGTTGCGATACGTGTTTCGATGGAGATGTATAGCTACATTGTCGACGACAACAATGACGAGGACTTGTTTTTCTTAGGCTCGCGTCTCTGCCTCCCTTTCACTTCCTTTTTTCCCATCCCCCGCCACCTCGTTCTTTCACGTTTCTGATACGGAAAATGGGTTACATCCTTCCAAGACTCGAACGTATCGGACAAAAAATCTTCCAATTATAGCGAATTAGTTTCGTAGTAACCGTGTACACAATGTTTCGACGAATTTTAATCATTAGTTGCTGAACGGGAAAACAGTTTTATTAATAACTTCTTTGCTAAAACGAGAGGAAATATTGAGTTCGAAAACTGTCGATCTGGTCATACAATGACTGCATAACCAGCAGCTGCTTTTCCTTTTCGTTTATTTCACATAAAAAATGAACATTGACATAATATCTTGCCTTTTCGACTTGTATCGTTTCATTCCGTTACTCTCTTTACGGTGTATACGTTTAATAACTTATTGTGTGAAATATTAGAAGAAATCGATTCATCAAATATCGTTATTTTTAGTTTTATTAAAAAATGTTTAATATTTTAGGAAAAGAAGTAATAATTAAATTCCTTGCAGCCGAAGAAAATATAATACGATGTGAACGATTCCCTACGGGATGAGATTACGACTCGTCATAAAACTCATCCCCTCGTTATTGTAAGTTTTATTACTCATCTAAAAAATGGAATATGAATGTAACGAAACTATTTTTAAAAAACTGGAAGCGTAGCACGATGGAGTTCGAAACAAGGATGGCATCCAGTTGCTGTATTCCCGGTTTGCCACAAGCCCAGTATTTATTCGTACGGGAACGAATCGAGCAATCAGCGAATGTTTACAGGCCCTTTCCCAAATTCATTAGTGTGCGCTTTTCGTGCCGAGTCGAGTGAAAACATTTCACAATTCGACATTTCCGACTTAAAGTGTTCGCGACGTCACGGTGTCACGGTTCGTCCCTGTGTCAAGCGGTAAAACCGCGAAAGACCTTTCCTTCGTTACCGCGATTTCATTTTATTCACTTCAGGTCGCTTCATTTTGTGCACTTTCAAAATAGATCGTGAAAGGTACGCGATATTCTTTGTTCGAAACTACGGATCATCCGGTTTGTCATGATCGAAAACCGGCAACAGTTGACAGAAGGTGTTTTCCGTTTCTCCCTTGTTTTTACATTCACGTTCTATGATTGAATTTATAATTTTGTGGACGGAAAATTGGGGACGGAGTTCCGCCGGTATCACGGCCTATTCGTCGATTCATCGCGGCCTCGCAATTTGGCGAAGCGCGTGCTGTTAGCAAACCGACGGCTACAAATTGATGCCCTCTGGGCCCAATCTCGGTAAATTAATAGAGCCAGAGTTAGGTTCAATCGATGATGCGCAATAAATTGATGAAATCGTTATTGCACTGTCCTGGTATTATTTAATCAGCCATGCACACTTCATTCAAGCACAATTTTCTGAATAACCGTGTATAACTAGATGCTCGAATAACACGCCGGAGCCCGGCCGGCCATTGTTCATCGACATCGATGATACACTGTAGGATACTTCATGCCACCGCGTTTCATTAATGACACCAACGTACATATGTAGATACGTATACTCCTTTAGTGCATCGCGACGCCAGCACAGACGTGCCGTCACAACCGTTCCGATTAGAATCGTTTGCTTGCTCATTTTTTGCACCTTCCTTACGAAACGAGCCGATATCTTGGTCGAGCCTTAGATTTTGCAACCTTTCGAATTGATTCGATTCGAAACAATGATGCATGTAAAGTGCCCGTCAAGTCACAACACGAAATATTATATTTTAAATGTTTCCGTTTCATCCCCTTTTCCCACGACATATTTTGTACCTTTGCCCTTACATCTACATCTCAGATTTATACATATGTATAGTGCTGCGTTACATATATTCGCGTGACTTGTTAAACTCGTAAGCGTGCGCTTGACAGCTAATAGGTAACAGTTATTCGAACGGGGCGAGGAAAATCCCGGGAAGTTTATTAAAGCCCCCCAGCTTTCCGGTTTGTATTGCAAACGAAAAAACATCATCTGAATACGGCGTCCGCTTTTCACCTAAGCCGAGGATCCTCCGTTCCTCCACTTCCGCTGTTCTCTGGTCTTCTGTTGTCTTTTTCGTCCGCGATTTTTATTTCTCAGACCGGCGGGAATCTTGTAATATGCTGGTAACGACCATCTTCTCGAATATAGACTTTAAATAAGACATCCACGGCCGTCGACTGTGGTTTTACTGAAGGATTTAGGAGAGGCACAATCCCCGGTGGAAAACGGAGTAAATACTTTATTTCAATCTTTAAGAGTTTCTTATCTGGAGGAGAAATGACAATGCGATCCTTTCATTGTTTCGAGTACCTTCATACTCCGGGTTTATTTATTAGCAAGTAAGGCGAGCGTGAACATAATCCGAAAATTTCGTTAATTCAGTCTTGATGCTGTTAACGATCGAGCGATACGACTTTTGAGACACGCACGGCCTCGATAGTTCCCGATGTAATCTGAAATGAATAAGCGTTACGTATAGATCGAATCAGCTCACGAGTATCGCGAGGACGAAAATAAATTTAAGATCCCCTCGAACCTGACGTGAATATCACTCGAAATTACTGCGTTCTTCAAAAAATGAATGAAGATAAAACAAAAATTCGTTCTCCTGGTCACGCAAAACCCTACTACTTATCTTTCTTTCCAAACCATCTTCGTTGTACATGCTTCCAATAGGACATGCTGCCCTTTTATGAGAATGCAATTTTCAGCAAATAAATGAAATTCAAGGTGTATTATAACTTTTGTCATTTTCATTACTTAGAACCGCTGGTGGTCTTGGTCGTCGAGGTCGGTACATAAAACATTGAGTAGCCGCATATATATCGAAGTCGACTTGAAAGTACGTAGTCCAGAAGTAGACAGTATTGTTTGCGAAAGATGCACGTATATTTAAGGGAATTATTTGAATGGAACGCTGACGAGCTTTCAGCCACCCGACGTCCATGGTTAATACATATTCGAATGACGGCGCGACTCGTGAGCTGCCGGCTATCAGTAGTTAGTTACCCTTCGCGTGCCACCGTCTCCTCATACTAGAATACACCGCACTACGTTCTTATGTCGAGCACTCACACACAAAATAGTCGAACACTTAAACGGAAGATACTTGCACGATGGAAGGGACAACCGATGGGGCATACTAGGCGAACGCGTTTCGACTTTAATGTAGACGTTAAAACTACATCATCCCGGGTGCTATGTTTCTCAACAATATATTTAATCTGAGTTACAGTTCACGTGCTCGAGCACGGAGAACGTGGCGGATTAGCGAGCTGCAAAACGTCATGATATTGGGTGAACAATAATACCTAAATCGTGTAACACTCGAAGATCGATACGGAGGTGGATTTTGAGACTCAGCTAGAAATACATACATGAAACCGGCGTGTTGTGACTTTGTGACATCCATCCGCCGCCCGGTGTCCCGACGCGTGTACCGTGGCATGAGTACCAAAGGAAGAGGTGGACGAGGATCAAGCGATAATATCGGCTGCGCTTCGTTCGGCCACGAGCGTGCGAGGAACTCGAGGACGGAAACCGCAGCCGAACCTCGGCGACGTTCTCAGTGGTCAACTTCGAACACAGATAGGACAATGGTTCGGAGTGTAGCGAGAGCCTGTGGACGAAGATGAACGGAATACGCGCAGGCGGAATGGGGGTAAATAGATGAACGAAGTAACGAAAAGAGAAGGTGATAGAGGACGAAAGAGTAAGGGAGGAAGAGGAAACGCGAGAGGAAGATAAAAGAGGAGGCAGGCGCAACAAGCAAGATAGAAGAGAAACAGATAGACTAATAGAAAGAGGGAGAGACGTGGTGCAGGTGCAGGAGAGGATTCGCGTACGGGCGGGTGTGTTGTGCGTACCAATCGCGGGTGCAGGGTACGTCCGCAGGCACGCAGGAGGAGGCGAAACCGGGCACAGCCCCAGGAGCGGAGGGTTCCGACAAACGGGGCAAAACCGCCCACGCTACCCGGGGACCGGCGCGCGGCTACTCGCGTTGCGACGAGTGCAACGCATTGAGTACCGCGCGCGAAAACGAGCTTCAACGCGACTCGGTTGGGTGGTGGCCCGATGTTCACTCGTCGGACAGAAAAGGCGAGACAAGGAGGCACCTGGCAAGCGATAGGGATGAGGAGAAAACGAGAGAGATGCGTAAAGGAAGGAGGACGAAGAAGAGAGCGGAAGAGGAAGACGAGGACAGAGGAGAAGCAAGGAGGACGGCAGGGGTTGAATCTAGGCAAGGGGTTAGTGGGGGCGTACGAGGTGGCGGAGGTTGGTCGACGGGGGTGGCAGCCGATTCTCGGTTGGTGGTAGTGGTGGTGAAGGCTGAAGAGGAGAGAGAGGTGGCGGCGGCGGCGGCGGCGGCGGCGGCGAACATAAAATCCCTCGCACATGCCTGGTGCATTCATTAGGGGGGATGTGTCCGTACAGCGTGCACGTCGACCTGCATCTACGCCACCCTCTCTCTCTCACGGCGCCACCCCTGGCCTCAGTCGCGCTCCGCGGCCAACTTGGTACACACGTTACTTTGTTGTCTTTCCCTGACGGAGTTTCGTTCGCGTTGTTACGTGATCGACGTCGCGTCGCGAGATAATCGTGCTCACGCGAGATCTTACGTCTCGATTCTCGTGTCGATAGATCACTGGTTGAACCAGAGAATCAGCCCTGAACAACCGAGCTGTGTCTTCCGTTTTTCATTCTCTCTAGTTTCGTTCGTTCACCCGTCCATTTGGTCTCACGCGTTCTATCATGACCACCGAGGCGAGTTGAAGATACTGCAATTGCCTCTCGGTGCGAACGATTTTGCGAGTGCGTTCACTTCCGGTTGACGATTGTCGTGTGCGCGAAAGTACTGTCCATGAAAACGACAGAGACCGCAGTTCCGTCGTAAACGGAGGAGGAGCTGGACGTTTCGTGAACTTGAAGAGGATCGCCGTTCGTCCCGGGGAGCAGCGATTCCTGAAGATCATCCCGGAAGATCTTCCGTAGGAGGATCGAAAGAAGGTCCTTCCTCTGATCTGCGTGGTGCGGCTACGCCAGGCCGACAGGATTTCATGTTCACGAATTTCAGTAAACCAGGTAACGATGCGCCAAACCCGCCTCCACGGAACCGGCGCGTCGGTTTTTGGATTTTCTTTCGCGTGTCGCTTTCTCGCGTTCTTACCCCTCGTTAACGGGTGCGTTCGTTTTGCGCGCTCGGCCTTTCTCCGACTACATGCGCCGGCACGGTTTAGAGGGGAGACCAGCGGATACGCGCCTATTCCGCGACCCGCAAACAGCCTACCTACTGTACTGGCATCATCGATCGCGAGATCTAGAGACATGCGTGCCGTATTCTTCCCTCTCCTGCTCCGTGAATCACCCCTCGCGAGACTAAGATGCGAACAGAGACGACGGCGAAATGTTTCACCGTTGATTATACTCGACGCGGATTTCTGTCAACCAGAGATGATCGAATCGCGTGTTTGGCTCGGTGTTAGACTTGCCACGGTCAGATCTCAATCAGTCGTAATCTACAATTGTATCAAAGCATTTAAAAATTATCATAAACGATTATACATGTCGACGATTTTAACTGCTGCCTGATTGACGTGATCTGACCATACCGTGACAGCTAGTGTGAATCAAGCTTGAACATATAGTTCTCCGGCTTGCTCTCCGATTGACTGTTTTAATGGAATCGAAATCGAAAGTTTCTCCGTTCTCACGCAATTCAGAGATCGAATAAGATAGTAGAGGTAACGAGTTTTGCCGGTTGTAGAAAATCAGTGAAACACAGGCACAGTGAGATGAGAATTTGCCATTAAATTCCGTAACCGATCGCGAAATCGGATAGTTTAACGGATTTCAATAATGCGCTCTGTAAACTAGACTGCATTTATTGGTTTTGCGTTCGATTGAAACATAAACTGGCCAACGTGGACAAAAACACGCGGTAAAGAGATTATCGATTACCGCGGATATATTCCAGGACAAATCAGGGCGATCTATCATTAATTTCACAAGCATTTCCTCATTTCTATTTTTCTAAAGTGTGATATAGGATGAATAATGTTTTTCACACTCGCTGTGAAAAAAAAATTGCATCACCAACGAACATGCAATGAAAAATCCATGAAAATTGAAATGCGCGAAGCCTGACGTTTGCTCAATTGGTAGGTATGACTCTTGCTCAATTAGTGTCGAATATATTTTTTTCAAAGTGGTAGTAGATATTGATTAACAATAAAAGTTATGGTAGAAACTTGTATAAATGTTCGAGTATGCTAAATGTAATAAAATGTAATAAAAACGAAAAGTAAAGCACTTAAATTTATGAATTAAGAATTTGCAACCTTATATGTCTATAATAAATATACGAGTTGTGTATTATTTACTATCTATTCGGGCACCTTAATGAATGTTAAATTCTATATTTATCATAGAAGACAGGGTAACAAAATTCATTTCCGCTGTATCAGAATTCAAAGTACGCGGAATGGTATTCTCGGATAGGAATTCATTTATTCGTAGGCCATAAAACGTTTCCCGAGTCAAGTCCGGGCAAACGAAATAATACCTAAATATTCCTTAAGATGCAATTTAAAAGCGACGTTCTAGGAAGACGAGTTTTTTGCAAAACTTCGCCAACATATGCAAATATCATGGGGATATCAGCCGACCATTTTTAAGTCAAAGAATGGGACTCGTAAAAACAGGACGAGTCGAAAATTTTCAGAGGTTCGGATGCAAGACAAATGCAAGTACCATTGAATTTTCGTGGGATTATTTGGGCTGTATATCGCCGATATAAATGTCCTTCCCATATGTAAATAGAAAACGTCGTAACTCCTAACGTAGCACGCGTTGGTGGACAAATATTGCATCAACGGTATAAATCAAGATTAATTTTTAATCTACCGCAATAGGCGGTGGGGAAAGAATCCATTATTTATTATATACGCGTATAATACTTTGAGACATAGAATTGTGAATAAATTTGCGAAAAAAAATGGGGAAAGTAGATATATTGTAAAAATAAAAAATAAAAAACACCGTCCTTCACGAGCCGGCGAGCTGTTATCGTTCATTCTCGTGTCGCTTTGAGCGGCGGAGAGGAAGCTTCTATTAAATCCTAGTCGAACGTACGAACATAAATCGACGCCAAACAACGTGTTTACATTCGATCGTTTCTGAAAAAGCCGAGACGAAAGAACAGAAAGCAAATACTGTCGTTTTCCCTTTTTTCCGTCCGTCTGTCGAACGTATCGCACCGTAGTCGTAGTCATGAGTATATGACGCATGGATCGAACGCCTTCGATCATAAGAAACGTTGCTCGAGAGAGAGGAAAATTTGGCGCCATGTACCAATACCGAATTACCTATGAAATGTTCGATCGACGGAAGAGACCTCGTTTTTCCGACAAAATTCGCAAGAAGATGGCACAGTTAAAGCATGCTCGCCTCTTCCCTCTAAGTCGCATAGCCGCATTGTCGCTGTGAAAATCTATGGCGAGCGCAGCAGCGTGCGTTCTTTATCGGAACAATATACTTTACACGGACTTTCTTACCACTGCATTAAACTTTACTCGACCGTCTCGAATCTCTGTTGTTTTTTATCTGACGGTGAATTATATACTCGTTTAACGTACATACAGCGCAGTTTCTGCCGCGAATTTCAGCCGAGCAATGGGACCAACGTACGTTAAGATCAATAGTATTTCGAAGAAAATCGTGGGCTTTACAGTTGTTCAAAGTTCCCGCAAGATGAAAAGACATTATAAATCATTTACCGGATAGTGCTGTCGTAAACGCAAATCGCGCAATTATCGCGTCGCGTTTGAAATCATTGCGCGCGCAATTCGCGCGCGAGCATGCGCGATGCGGGAGGTTCGCGCGAGCCGCGTGGCACCGCTGCACTTCCGGTTTACATCGCACGAAGATCGTCCCTGAAGATTCGCTAGCCCGCACGGAAGACAGACAAAACGAGATTTTTTTTACTGCGCGCACTACGTCGTCGGTTCACGCTGTAGGGAAAGAAACGGGGACGTATCTGGCAACGATACGTCGCGATGCCAGCCTAGCTTCCACTTGTTTTCCTCGTGGAACGTTCAAGGCCACCGCGAGATAATTATGCAGATAACGGTGATGCTCGACGGTGTCCCACCTGCATCGAGGATCCACAGGTCCGTTCCTTCTCTAAAGATAAGCTTTACTTTTTCTTCTCTCTTTGTGTCTGACCTTACACGCCGTTGATCTTTGATCTCTTACACGCACGTATGTATGTACATACGTATCTATACGCAATGTTCGGACATTTAGGAATACGTATTCTCTTCGTTTTCATGTGTTCGACTATTCTACATGAACTATTGACTATGCCCGCGCGTCCGCGTCTACTTGTAAAACACTTACTTTACATACTTCGAAGGCAGATTCTTTTCTCGAATAGTATACATATTATGTAGATACTCACGTCTAGAGACGACTCGCTCGAGGAACCGGTTCACACAATTAATTGCGTAACCATTTAGTTGACCCAGGATGATGTTGCTAATATGTAGAAAACGCGCAGGCTCTTTGTTAGCAATGGGTATCTTCTTCGACGCGAGGAAATCTGCCCGACCAAAGACGATTAAGAGATCCTGCGTTAACGCGCGTTAATAGCTAACTACCGTAACCTTTCCAGTAATTATTCACCGGTAAAGCGAATAAATCCGACCTGATACCGCTGTACGCTGTATTACTCGTTCCGTTCCTTTTTGCCTCCTTTTGCGTCTGCACGCAGCTGCGGCTGAACGCCCGGATAGGGAAAGGAAAAGAGAAAAAAGATATATCGCGAGAAATTTTCTGAAAATTACGTTACTCGAGACGGAACGCACGCAGTTTTCGAGTATTACTTACACTTCTGAGTTCGTTGTAATTTTCATTTTATACAATTGGTATTATATTCTTCTCGCCGGGTCACGTCTCCGTTAAGCGAGAGGCCTTTGTCAGGGATATTTCCCGTCATAATTTATGACAACAGTTAAGTACTCAGTTCGCGAAATGAAAAAAGGATGGGATCTCTTTAAGACGGAGCTATCGTTTTAAACATTTCTATCTAGGTTGCCATTACAAATGCTCGCGGCACGCCCTAATAGCGGCGTTATTGTCCTCTTACTCGCATCAACATTTTAAATCCTTAGAAACACGCTCCAGATAAATCCAATTATGCTCATTCCATTATCCATTTAATACACCGGATTTCTGTCTATACACTTGTATCTTTGGATCGGGAACAAGTGCGCGAATAGTAATTTTGTGCAGCGCCAATCAAAGCGCGGATTGAATCTGTTAATAGTCGAGTAAAGCTTGTAAATCCATATTCGAAAACCGATTGAGAAGATTTTCCAATTTTCCTGTTGCCTATTGATTTTGTGTGGTTAACGCGATTATGGTTCGTCCCACGAACAGCCGAAATTAATATTAGAAAGTTTGCGATTCGCGTGGAGTACTGTTCGTCGTTAGTAAAATAGAGTGTTTTCTGTAAACTATAAATCACACCTCGTTACCTAGGGCAGACTGTTCCGTTTATAGTTTACGTAGAGAAAGAACGAAGGAAGAGGAGATTGAAAAGAAATAAATAGGAATAAAATCTTTGGCTTTGAGAATTATACGAGCTAGATTTAAGATCATATTACGTGTTTGTCATTTTTTCTAATTATCAAAGGGAAAAACGGATTTTAAGATATTCCTTCGTAGCATCTAGTTAAAGGGCCTGCGAATTTTACGTGCGAATACGTACAATGTATTGTAAAATACATAATAATGTTCGGCACGCTAGAGCCAAAGTTCCGTGTAACACTTTTGAAAGTATCATATGACGATTTGAAATGTGTTTCTAAAACATTTGTAAAAAGAATTTCGATTCTATGATCATTTTTCAATAAGATAAGATTTTTACCATTAATAAAAATGATTGTTATAAAAATGTTTTAAGCTATTGAATGAACTTCAACCAATAAATACGGTGGCTGAAATTTATATTTTCGGCGAAACAATGATAGGAATTTTGTCGGTGAGCCCATTCACTGCATAATTTCTGTTGAATTATCGCGCTTCGGGCAGTAAATAAGATAAATGTGTTCATCTCGACGTTCATTTAAAAGGCAATTGAATCGAGTATTTGTTTATTTGTTTTCAATTTTAACGTTTACGTGATTTCTGCAGCTTACACATTTTAACACAAAAAAATATTCCGATGGGTGATAAATCGCTTAATGGTCACTTTGACCTTTTATAATTACATAATTTCATTAAAACATTTTAACAATTAACTGTTCCTTTATAAACGATGAATTGTTAAGTGTTACGTGGAAATTGAGAATTAATGGGAACAAGATTTATTGGATTTTCAAAGGATAAACGAGTATTTATTAATTAATAATGATGTTTTTGTGGTCCGCTAGCGCAATTCATATTGAAGTGATAATTATATTAATGTTGCTGAAGGAATTACATAAATTTGAAAGTGGAAAAATTGTAAGTTATATAGGAACAGTGAGAGAATTAGTACTGCGCGATTAGTAACGTTTGAATTTGAGCGCCCTTCGCGCCATTCCCCCGGCAGATGCACGAAGGTCAAAAGTATTTTAAAAATAAGGCCGTAGGCATTGGCAGATTGGTATGGTAGTGGACGTTAAGGGTCGGGTGGCGTTGTAATGGCAAAAAGTTTGCGAAAGGTGAGTAATCATCGGGACGATAAACAAACTCGGGTCGTTAGTGTATACGGTGCGTTAGTTAGCTGGCGCTGGTTTTAGGTAAATAAAGCCGCGTGTGAAGCGTGTTTGAATGGTTAGAAATCGAGCATCAACAAATCGAGTATTCGCGAGAAGGCTCGTGGCTAGACGAGCACGGTCGACAATGGCGCCCAAGCCTCGCGAATATTGACATTGCCGAAAACATTATCTTCGAATACAGGGTATCATCATATCCACGGGTGACAGATACTGCGTCGCAATTAATACTCTAACCTTCTTTTAATTTGCGAGACGTTTGACGAAGTGAAATCGCGTGGGAAGTAAATTTATTGGTCGTCGAGGTTATGCGAAAAAATGTTTTCGGCACGTATAGTAGCGACGCGTGAACCCTGAAGGGTTTTACAGTTATACTGCAATGTGGCACATTTGCAGAAGCACGGAGGAAGTTGTGTGGGTCTAGAGTAGCGATATAATCTCCGAGGAGATATCGTCAGGCCGATATAGGAGAGTGTGCGTGAAGAAGGTGTGTGAGTTAACATTTTAAGGGTTAGGGAGTCATTCTGTAGTCAGGGTGATCATAGTCTTTCAGTGTGGACAGTTCAGGGCAGCTAGTTTGGTTGTAGGGTCGGGATTGGAGATAGACAAGATGGACCAACAGTATTGCCTACGGTGGAACAACCATCCAGCCAACCTCACAGATGTTCTCAGCTCCTTGCTTGCCAGAGAGGCACTCTGCGACGTAACCCTGGCATGTGTTGGAGAGACATTCAAGGCACACCAGACGATACTCTCTGCATGCAGTCCATATTTTGAGACCATTTTCCTTCAAAATACCCATCCTCATCCAATTATATTCCTGAAGGATGTCAATGACTCGGAAATGAAGGCTTTACTGCACTTTATGTATAAGGGAGAAGTTAACGTTAGTCAGCATCTGTTGCCGATGTTCCTTAAGACAGCTGAGGCACTACAGATTAGAGGCCTCACTGATAATAGTGTAAATAACAAGGCAGAAGAGAAAAGTCCATCACCAGAACCAGAAACACAAACTGGTATTAGGCACACTGAATCGCCTAACCTTCAGCCTCTTGCTGAAAAGAGGAAACGAAAATCATCTGGCAGCTATGACGTTTCCCTTAGTGGTCCACCCAGTGAACGGTTCATGTCAGACTCTCAGGTATACATCATTTTAAATATTACGTATCAATGTATTCGTCGCATGTAAATGTTATTTAGAGTTAGATTTTTGTTCCTCAGTAATCGATGCACATTTTCTTTATAAGAACTACTATTCGTATTGGTTTCACATTCACATATGTTATGAACAGTTACTTAGTAAGAAACATGTAATATCTGTAAAACTATACGTACACATGATACAATATTAACAAAGAAGTGATTGGATATAAAAATTTCCTGTCTTGTCAAATACTTATAGATACATTATTGCAACACAAATTCTTGTTTGAATAATAGTCTTTTTATAAGGAAAACGTTATAAATACGTGTGTTTCATAATCTTTCCAATTGTAAATATCAGTTGCTGTATTTTCAAAAAATTTATGCTTCATTTATAATGTTCATGGAATAATTACTGATTTAAACATTGTCAAAATAATATCTCTATAAACTTAAACCATGGAATATATTAGGTGCTCTCTTGAGCAGAAAGTATATTGAAGTTGTGTTCTATTGTATCTGTATATTTTTTCTGTTGCTAATTAATTGTGAATGCTGTCCATGCTTATCGCAAATTTAAGTTGTATTAAAATTGAAACGCATTTTTGCTTTTTATGAAAATGATTTTTGAAACATATGCTCCCGCGGAGTAAAGCGCGTGCGTTGTGCATGCGTGCTACCACGTATACATGTGTAGTCACGTGTGTGTGGTATCTTATTCTTACAGGTAGCACTAAAGTTCGAAAATAAGAATCACACTTTATCATTATTAAATCATATATATATATATACAGATGATTGCATAGCATCTCAAATATGTTCTAAATGTTAATCTTGCAAAAATTAATCTTTCGTAATTAACGATATTTCACACTGATTACTTTGTGAATATAATATATTTTTATTTAATAATTTAAAAGAAAAATGCAGTATAATAGTAACTGAATCTCTTGACTTCTTGTGTAGAAATGTTTAAATGTCTGTACAATTGCAAATGGTTTCAATACATTATGAAATGCATAATCTTGTTTTTTTTTTCTTTTCCAGGCATCATCACAATGTAGTTACAAGTCAAGTCCTCCTGTTATTCCAAAGTCAAACAATACTATGGGAGGTGACATGGAAGATGGTGGTCGACCTATGTCCCCTGCATCACAACCGCAGCCTTCTATCAAACAAGAGTTAGATCATCACTTACCCGACTTCCATGACAATATTTCACTTCCGGTAAGTAAATTTTTCTACAAGATTTTTGTAGACGTTCGCAATGAAACGTTGTCACATGACGCATGATGTAGTAAGTAGCAACAGTTTGTAGATGTATATTAATAAAATATATACGTTGTTTTATTATGAAAATCCAATACTGACTTTATTTGCATTTTTTTCCTATTTTATTATATTGAATTATTTATTTATTCAAAAACCTAGACAATTTTTTATATCCTGACCTTCGTAATATTCTGTCAGTATTCTCATTTGCTTAATATGTATTTATACGATAGTTATACAATTTTTAGTTTTTTTATGGACATATTCAATATTAGATACGTAACGGAGTAGTCATATTAATAATTTCTTCTAGCATACTTAGTGATTAAATATAACTTTAGTATAGCTTAATTTTTTATCCTAATGTAGAATTTATTTTGTATGTCACATATACTTTTATTTCAGCATGCTATTTTGCTTTTTTTGGTAGTGTGATTACTTAAGAGAATTATTCTTCATGCATAGCTTCTATGCTATTCGTGAAACCATCTAGTACATTTAATGTGAAATATACAAAGTTTTGTTACTGTTCCCATAATTAATGATTATTCACGATTTTCCTACAACTACTCGGTCCAAAGAAACATGGGAAGGAAGGGATATCTAATTGTAGATACGAAAAAAGAGATTGGCTTCTTATACGCTAAAAAGACAAAATTAAAATGTGTTGATTAAACACATATCCTTTCCTTCTCTGTTGACAGACTAGTGTGGAGTGGGAAGTTCAGAGAGATGGGAAGAGTGACGAAACTATGGATGTTCAGAACATGACCCAAAATCAACGAGATCTCACTATGATACAATCTTCTTGCGAAAGCATTATCATGGCTGGAGGTTCTATGTCTATCAATATGTCAAGAACCACATCCGATTATGAGAATAGCTTCAGATCCTCGAAAAATCAATCTAGATTCCTCAATTTCAATTCGCACAAAGACAATAGTACAGAATCGAATTCCCAGTTCAATTCGTTCTCTGAAAATAATCTAAATGCCAAAAATTCTCTTATTAACAATGACGTGGATAGATCAATAATTGTGAATGAACGGGAGAACGCGTCAGTTATTCAGTCAACCTTATTTAACATTCCACGCTCTATTCCTCAAAGTAAAAAAACGGGTAGGTTTAAAGTCGGATGGATGGATATGTACTCTTGGCTGCAATACGATGAAAGATCAAACCTTATGTTTTGTAAATACTGTAGAAAGTGGAGTGATACAATGCCTGAAATACGTACTTCATTTGCAGCAGGAAACGGTAACTTTAGACTCGAGATCGTGAATCATCATAATAAGTGCAAAGCTCATAACTTGTGCGTTGCTAAAGAAAGCGAGGCAAAAAGGAGTTGTACTTACATCATGGAAACCTGTTGATTTTACGTCATAATTCTCTTACTAATTCCGATTAATTTTAATCAATCAAATTCGATTTATTTTCGGCAATTTTATCTGTGCAGAAGAAAATTTACTCAAATGCCATAAAAGCCAATTTATATACATCTCCTTAATTTTTTTTTAAAACTATATGTAATATGTACGAGCATGTAGATATTTTCATAAAGCATGGGTGCATGAAAGTTTTGTTAGAAGCATGGTTCACCCCATAGTAACATTTTTAAACGTATTCGACAGTCTATTTTTTCTGATATCATACCTTTAAAAAAATATAGAAGTAAGATTTTACAATTTTACAAGTTAGAAAGTACAGCTATTTTTCTGACCTTCATTCGAAATTAAAATCGTAAAAAAAGGAACAGTTGTATATTTTTTCTTTTTTACGAGCTTCTTAAAAGTCTATTTTCGATCTAACAAATCTGGCTAGATAATTGTGATTCACGAAGTTTCTGTACTCGTATTTTGTACTCTCAATAAGATCACGAATTTTTCTCTTCGTATTAACGTCATATTGTTCATTATTTTATGTAAGCATGACTATTGTTATAGTTCTTAAATGATTACTCGTTAATAGTTACGTATTTATTCCAATTGGTGTGCTGTGTGCCCTAGAATTCTTCAATTAAAGCAAAATTCGTGTTTGAGAAATGAGATATTTTAGCGAATATTATGAATTAGAGAATTTTATGAAAACTGTGATTGTTTAAATAGCTGTGAAAGTTGAATAGTTGTTCGACTCCGTGAAACTAGTATCGTGCTCGAAGAAAAGGGAAATATTCTTCAAGATACATGGGTCTATCATACATTACATTTAATGCAAAGGGCAATTTTTACTTGGACGAAGCTTGATTGAATTTTTGAGTGAAATTTATATACGTACGTCGGCTTTCATACGGAATATTTTCTATACATATACGAATTCCTAAACAATTAATGCGTTATTGACATGAAATATTGTAAAGAACAAACGAATTGCCAAAGCACATTCAACTTTATGGTGATGCGGTTCTGTGATGAATGTATAGGTATTGCGTGGAATATGAACAAAACGCTGATTTTGTCATAAAATGTATAGATAAGCGTTGATTAAAATTTCGTTGGATTATAAAGGATTGTCTTTCATAAAGTCATCAAATTATTCTCTCCTTGTTATGTTATAAGCTATATAAATAATAAGGGATGACTAAATAAATAAATAATATAAATTTCGTTTTCTCATTTGCATATTCTTTAATTATGATTACATTACACACTTAAATTAATTTGCAAAGCATCATAAATATAAACTATTAAAAACGAATCCAATTGTAACATCGTAATCTGCCTTATTTTTCTTCCATTTTAAAAATATATTTTATTTTATTAAACTATTGTACAGAAAGTGACTTCTTTTTTCATTCTTTCGACTCGCAGCTTAATTTAGCAATAAAATAAGAAATATTTTTCAAGATAAGAGGATTTATTAATAAATGCCTTCTAACTATCTCTGTGCAAGTTTGTAATGTGAAGTGATATCGTGTGCTACAGGGTCATCCAGTTGGACTGCTAGGAGAGGAAGGATCAACAACAGGCACGTTAAGTGATGGCGTGTCAGGAATTGAATCGTCCGAACACCATAATCCTCCAGAAATGCTCGACGGACTTGATGGTAAGACCTAAAAATATCTATTATTACGATCAAAATTACATTTAGATTTCACGTATTTCCTCCGACTCGTTCGAACTCCGCTCACACAATCGTTGCAACCGTGATCTTTCGTAATACTCCTTTTATCGTTCCTATACTTTTACGTTGATATCAATCGTTTTCAAATTGAACGAATCAGGTGTAATTAAAAGGAGAATTTGATAACGAGCGACGGAAATTCGCGAGATCTAAGAAATCGAGGGAGATGTGCATGCACGTTTGCAAGAAATTTTGCGCGTCGAGTCGTACATAGGCGTACGAAGCGAGCATCCCTCTATTTCCAAGTCTGGCAAGCGTAGTGAGTGGAAACCTCTTTTTAGAAAACATGAACAACTTTCTTTGCTATACGTTGTATCCTGTATACATAGTATGTTCCGTTCTGTATACGTATGTCCTATGTATATGTAGATATATGCACACGCGATTGAAAAACGTGTGCGTGTATCATATATACATACGTATACATATACATGGACATAGATGACATAAATCTTTGGTGTTGTGGTGATGGTATCGTGCATTTGCTATGTCACACCGTGGTAGTTAAAAATCCGTAAGTGTGTTAACAATATAATAGGAAGTATAAAGTATTATCTAACAAAAATGCAGTTAATCCTTTTGGGAAATGGTATCGGCAAACTGGACGTTTCTTCTATTAGTATCAGCAAATGGACAGTACTTCTGTTTGTCTGAATATTTTTTTTTTTTTTTTTGAGATGATTGCGTGTTCGATGATATTGCGTACGTGGTGCTGTACGATTTGCGTCTTCCTTTTTCCTTTTATTAATTTACACATATGTACATATATAAATAATACATATGCATACACACATGCCCACGTATACATTTCCAGTATACATAGATGAGCCTATGTATGCGTGACGAAGTAACGGAATATCCACAGTGTGAATGAGCGGGTAATTGTGCGTGCTTGCGAGCGTATCTCTGGTTTGGGTCGGAGTAAACGTATAGTATTGCGTGTGTTTTGCATATCTATATAAATTTATTTATAAACGAATACATATATACACGTATATATATGCATACGGATATATGCACGTGTGTATGTATATGTATATATAAATATACACATATACGTATATCGTTACTGGCGGGATTCTCTGTGCATGTCTTTTAAACACTGTTTTCTCTATCCTCTTACAAGTTACCTTTTGCCACGTCTTACGTCACTACATAACTAGCGATCTTAATCTTACATCCTCACGTGTCTCTCTTGCGCTGTTTGTTTTAATCTGTACTAAACGGAGGTACTAGCAACAAAGTACGAACATGTGTATGCTACGGTCAGTGTGTTACGTAAGTGATTGATGAATCGAATACGAGCGTCACACACCGGTTCGGTAGCAAAGCGAGTTATATAACCGTCATCGTTTCCTATGCTAGCTCTGATTATTTTTTGAGACGACGACGTTCCAGTTGTGATCGTCTCAAGAGACGCACGCTGCTCGTACACTTTGACACCGGTTAGTCGAAGGATCGCAAGAGGAATCTGTGGCTAATACAAGGGCCCGTTTTTTTTTAACTTGTTGGCTCTGAATCTAGCAGGCGTATCGTTGTCATCGTTGTCGACGTCTTGTTAATTTCGTCGCACTCACGATCACGTTGTCGTTACGGTTGTGGTCAGTTCGTGTCGTTGTCCATCAAGTGGCAAAGGCCGTCAGGCAAATTCTGCTCTAGCAATGTTGCAAATAAATATCGATCAATCTCGCGCAAATGGAAATTGACAAAAGAAAATGGCAACGGATCTTTTAGACAAACGGATTTTCTTCCAGAAAACCATCACTCGTCTTAAAGAAAATATTGCATTTACTATCAGTTCTCTTTGCTAAGCCTTTCTTCAGCTTGATCTTTTAAAATGGAATTCTGTTTTTTCATTTTTCTTATCTTATTATTTGTCTCCCAGTACATATAATTTCCCTCTTCCTTATCATTCCTATTTCTTTACTATGGTCTCCTTTTTGTTAATGTTGTCTTTTATTTCTCTTCGAAATGTTGTGTTTAGCTTTGCGTCTTGGATTGTTACTATTGACAGTGATGAGACAGTAGTTGTGGGTTTTCCTTTCACGTGGTTTGATCATTTTTATTTTGTGTACGTATATTACGTTTGACTACGAGTAGGCATCCTTGGACGTGTTAAATGCATAATATCATTAGACGAGTGTGGTGTTTCGTAATATCATCGTAATATTGAATGGGGAACGTAATTAATTAGGAGAATCCCCTCTTTTCTGCAACCTCTTTGATATGACCGTAGAATGTGACTACGAGATATAACATTTATATTTCTTTTTACGTATAGTTACATTATATATCTTATGATGAGTCTAGTAGAGATTGTCGGTAATCATAAATGGTAGACTAATCAACGATAATTGAAACGCGATCTTGTAATTCCAGGAACAGCAGGATCTTGCAATAAAGAGAAGGATATAAGTAAAGACAGTCAGTTGAAGCTAGAACATTCCAACCTCGGTACGGAGTGTTGTAAGCTTTGCGGCAAGAGCGTAGCGAACATAAAAAAGCACATGAAATCGCATTTCCCCGATAAGTATCAATGTCAAATCTGCATGGTATCGTTAACGAGATCGGATAATTTGAAAAGGCACATTAAGTTAAAGCACGGGATACGAGAGACATCGTTGATATCGCCGTTCATGCGCTTAGATCACAAACACTTCTTAGCGAGATCGGAAGCGTATCTTTCCTAGAGTCTTGCGCGTACGCGTGCGATATCTAAACGACGGAGAGCGATGGAAAGTATTTTATAATTTTTTACTATTCGCGCACTAAATCTTATTTGATAGGTAAACGCTGATTGAGAAATCGAAGAGGTAGGGACCGTAGATCAGCGTTGAGATAATTTTTCCCGCACGGCTCGCTTCCCCTTTTTTTCACCCGTATGTCGATCTCCACTACTATTCTCCTCATGCGCCTTCGCTGACTATGCCTAGCATATCCCCGTCAAATACCAGTCCTCACCATGGTCGCGTCGTCCCTACTTTCCGGCCGAGGGAAAAATTATCTCAACGCTGCCGTAGCCAGAACGCATTTGAAACGCTCTTCGTCCCGTAATTTCGGCAATGGTAATATTTACCTTCCTAATTTTCTGAACGTGCGACGATCCAAGGTCTCGCCCGATCAGTTTTTTAATCGTGTTCTCGGTTTGAAATGATTCCCTTAAGGAAATTTAATTTATTTATCGTCACATACGTCTAAATAATATATTCCCAAATTGTATTTAAGAATTCTTTATTAATAAGAAATTAACCGTTCAAATTAATTTCCGGCCGATTGCTCTTAAAAGAAACGGCTGCTAATAATTTTTACCAGTGTTCGTAGAATCGATCGCTAGTGGATCTCAAGTTCGCTGAGTCAGTTCGAGTACAAAGTGTGAAAGTGTCTTTTAATCGTGTTCGTAGGTATTATGTATACTACCTCCCGCGTAAGGAGTTTAAGCTGTTCCTCCCGAGCAAGCAAAAATGCCACGTTTCCGAATATTTACGTTTTGAAACGGGAAAGATTTTCGGTAACCGAAATTTGCTGTCACCGCTGCCTCTTCTATACGCGCGCACGCGGCGCATGGAACTGGATTTTAGCACAAACGCGCACCTCCCACGATCTCGTACGTTCATTTCCACCGACCGAATCCTGCAGTTACGTGAAATAGGAACCTCAAGATATTGTCTTTGATTAGATTTTCATAAGAGCGATAGTTTGGCCGGCAAAACGTTGCGCGGTCCGCTTTTCCGCGAGAGAGGATGATTGTCAAAGAGAGCAACACGAGGAAATTCGCATCGAAATAACGCTCCTATAACGCGCGTCGCGTCCCGGGTATTTCATTTAAGTTCCATGCTCACCGTTCGTCGCGAAGACGGGGCGCGTAACTTTGTATCTCGCAATAGAAATCTTGTTCCGTACGTGAAGAGAGGAGATCAGTATTAAGTAACTATTTATACGCCTATTTATAGATCCTATATTAATAATTTATTTATATTTATACGTACATACGTAGGTTGTGAAAGACGTCGAAGACTGAGAGTATGAGACAAAAAAAAAAGAGATAAGAAAGAAACGCTGATACTCATGGGCCAGCGTGGCTCGATAAAATAGTCATGATGAACTAGTCTCTGAGGTCCAAAGGCTGTTGCAAAGAACAGACTTCTCTATAGTGGTTTTTTTTATGGTGCCTTTCCACTTAAAGTACAATAATCGACTAATCAATAATCAATAACGATATATATAATATATATAATAAACAGCTATGATATATCACCGTGTGTAACATGTAAACGTGCGACCGGTTTCTCCTATCGACAGTGCCTCACATCTAATAATCAAGCATCGATCTTTCTCTGTGCTCGCGTGCACGTCGCGCCGTGCACAAATACACATACACACACAGAGTACCTACGTACATACGTATACGCGCATACGTACATACGTTCACACGCTGTCGCTACCTATGTAGTAACTCCTTTCCTAGTAGAGTGAACTCGATCAAAACGAAAAGAAACGAGTTCAGGGTAACAGAGTAAGGTGGTCCCTCCGGATCGAATCACGTCGATGGCCGTTTTTCACACATGACTCTTCTCTTATTTGCAGATACCACACTTTTAACCCCACGGGACATTGAGTACGCGTGGGTTACATACATTGCGAATGTTAATTTGTCGAACTCTTTCCCGAGAAGTTCTCGTTGAACATATCGTAGCAAATGCAAATTGTGCGTTCGGATCGAGTCGAATCTGAACAATCATTATCTGACACAGAATCCAAGGAATTACGTATGCCCGCTCTGCGGCTGTCATAGAACTCGAGTGGATAACTTGGGATGAGCGTTCATTGATTGACGTCCGATGATTTTACATTCGTTGATATTCTGTGAAATCGACACATGTGAAGTCACTTTTGAATTGTTAGCTGAATTATTTTTACAGTCA